TATGTATTGCACTGCACAACAATCTTATTATACTTATCATGCTATAAATTGAATTAATCTTGCATATCTAAAGCCAGTACCAGTATATGCAACTTACATGCATTTCCACTACACTTAGATTGGCCCCGTCATTGTACAATTGTAAGTCCCAAATGGAATGTGTAACATGTATGTAACAATTTTTTATTATTTTATACTGTTATATGTAGGAGCAAACTTTAGTATAATTCTGTTTCTAATTATTACTGTTTTATTTATTTATTTATTTTTTTGATAACCTGCTTGGACTAGCTATGTTATTTGCAGGTTGTCAAAATTTGTAAAACTGTTTTTCAAGAAATGGAATAAAGATGAATAAAGTTAAGTCCAAGCATGATATTGCATATCTAGTGTATGAAACAATTAACCAGCAAAAGTACACAATCTTGAAAGTGGAAGTTCATCCAGGTCACACATTTTTCCCTTTTTTCTTTTTTCTTTTCGCTCAAGAAGAAAGGTATATGGGCACAAAAATTGGAAAATATCTACCTTTAGGCTATGACATATGAATGAATGGGTGCTATTCTCTGAGAATGCATGCTTCTTGGTAGCATAGTGTCCAACACAACGTTGGTAAAGGAATCCTAACAATTTATTATTATAACTTCAATTTCAAGCACTTCATCGTGTGGGAAAATCTTTTCAGTTCTTGTCAACCTTGCTGCCTCATTAGTTTGAGTCGNATTTAACAACTGTGTTACTATATCTATCTTCTTACTATCGTGTTACTGCTATGTTCAGTGCTTAGTCATGTCCTTGTTTTTCTATTTTAGCCGGGTTGTCCATTTCAGCTATAATCGGTGGGAATGCATCTTACCAAAGTCGCCTTCATCAATTCCTGACGCCTGCTGTTGGATTGAACAGTCGATGGGTGCTGTGTTACCGCGCCTCCTCTCACGGCTGGGCTGCTATTACCTTTCACAACAGGTGTGATGGCAAACGTGACACGGTTATCATCATCAAAAAGGGACAGTACGTGTTTGGAGGATACACTGACTTCCCCTGGGGTATAATATATTCAAGTTATCCATTATCAAACTTTTACAGTGTAACTATATGCTTTGAAAAGACCATAATTAAATTGTAGATCAGTATTCAATATGTTAAAGATTTTAAAAGTTCAGTTTCGTTTCACTTTTAATATAAATCATTGCTACTCCTATTCCCATAATATTAAGCTAAGCGCACCTCAGGTTAATAATAATTATTAAAAACCCGATCATTGGATAATGAATTGAAGAGTTTTCATTTGCTTAACCATCATGGGTTATGAACCATTATACTGCTCTACAAATATGGTAAGCCTACGCGTGATTTTGGGGCATTTTTATTTCTATTTTAGTCTAGTTTTCTACATTTTGGGGGCGTTTTTAAAAATTAACTGTTGCCCAACTTCTAGTTAAGTGGTTTCTAGTTGTTAGTCTTTTTTCCCCGTCATCAATATTTGCTTGAATGTTCCTGTTATCCAGAGTCCAGTGGTAGTTATACCTCCACCTCCAATGCGTTCATATTTTCACTCCGCAACAAAGAAAGTCTTGGACCATTCAAGAGCATGGTGGCGAATTCAGGATATGCAATTTACGGGAGCTCGGGTTACGGTCCAACATTTGGTGGAGGGCATGACATCCACATTGCTAACAATGCCAACAGGAACACTAATTCAAACACAAACTTTGGCAACTCTTACTCTGTTCCAAGTGGAGTACAAGAACAGAACACAATTCTGGCTGGAACTAATACCTTCTCACCTGATGAGGTGGAGGTGTTTTATGTCGGTTGACTAACCCTAACAGCCCTGCATTCACATTCTCAACTCATTCATATATAAGCAAGCTGATGAAGACGAATTATAAAATAAGTGTTTCCATTTTCTAGAGTTGTATGATCGTACTAAAAGTAGGTAGCCTTGAATTTTTATCTGATATTTCATATCCTTCGGTTTATTCATTCATTTTATTTATTTATTTATTTATTTATTTATTTATTTTTGCTGTTGCTGTTCGTGAATGAAGTTTGCTGGCTTTTAGAAACACGACCACCTCATTGTGGCAGTTTGGTAACAATTGTATCAGGGGCGGATCCAGGATTTTTCTTAGGAGGGGCGCACCACTAAAGAATAGTTTTCTTTTTGCAGAATAACAGCTATATTAGAAAGCCACATGTCATCTCGGGGGAGGGGAGTGTGCACCCCCTTCACCCTCCCCCTAGATCCACCCTTTACTTGTATGCGTCCCACGCTGCAGAAATCGGGATACCCAATGACGCTTTTAACCATGCATATTTTGACATGCTGTGTATGCCAGTTGTGCTGGGCAGGGCGTATGCTTACCAAAATTTTGTTGTTGTTTTCAATCAACAGCTGAAATAGAGAAAAACTCTTTGTTTCACAGGCCAATAGTTAAGGATCTCAGTGACGGTTACTATAGTTTTACGATTGATAGTTAAAGATCTTTTTTGCAGTTTGGTGCGGGTGGTTAAATTTTGGGCTGTTTGTAGATAGATTGTAAAATTCCTGTAATAAAGCTCGTGATGATTTCCAGTCCGCACTGTGCAGTCTCAGCACCCCAATGTTCGGGAATCACTCTATCGATGGCCGATGCGAATCCATGTTATTCGTAACGAAACGTTTACCTTATCTTTAAAGTAATACATCAAACACGAAAGACCGTGTTTGACCACATTTCCAAACACCGAGAAGAGAGTTGAAAATACGACGCGTAGCGGAGTATTTTTGACGAACTTCGAGGTGTTTGGAAATGTGGTCAAACACTGTCTTAAGTGTTTGATATATCTTCTCAATCGAAACCAGAACTAAGGAGAAAACGGAGAAACAAAATCGTGAAAATCTATGCTAATTAAGATCAGATATCAAACACTGTCACGGTCATGATTTCCTTTGTTTAAACATGATGAATTATTAATAAGTTTGAGAAGTACATTTTAAATTCTTTTCTCGAAAGTTTGATTTTTACAGCTGCGAAGTTGTTTCATCTAGTGACATCGGAAAGAACAAAGCCTGACGCCTCGCCTCCACAATGGAGGTAAACATGAAACTTTGAATTTGCTTCATGTAAGTAGATGCGAAATGTTACATTTTGTGACGTCTTACCTGACAAAAAAAAAAACAAAAACGTGAGAGTGCGTAGTACGGACTGGAAATCGTTGCTTCAAGACTATAGATATTTGTTGTGGTTAGCAGTCCGATTTTTAGTATAATTCCTTTCCCTTATAATTTTACGAGCATAGATACTCCATTCATTTATATACGAGAGAACATGATTATCTCAGTGATGTAACTATACGAATATAACATTTGAATGGGTTTCCTGGTGTCCTACACCAAATAACTCTTTTGGGCTTGTCGATATTTTTAATCTCGGATATTTTAATGTCATATCTTATATCTATTTATAGCAGTAAGGAATGTATGTGAAGCCCCGGGGAGATTCCCATATGAAAAGGACGGGGATGTTCTTCGGAAATTTTGAAAAGAACCCCTAACAGGTACAAAGATCCTGTTTTGTGGGCGCGGCTTAAAATTTTTGTTCATCACAAAGAAGTACCAATTCTACAAAAAGACATTATGTCCTGTCATATTTTTTCGGGTCAATTCCCTCAAAGGTACCGCAAAAGCTCTCGCTGTGGAACTTTTGAGACTGAACACCCAAGGATGTACGAAAACGTAACCCGTAAAAGGTTCGACGGGCATCCCCGCCCTTCATATATGGGGGAACCCCCCCACCGGGACTGAAGCATCAATTTCCGTCTGTAGACTCCCTAAAAGAAAAAGTAGTTGTTTGTTGGCTGACTCAGTTGTGGTTGACTTTTTTTTGATGGAGAATAATAAAATTGTGAACGTATAAATGTAAATGTAAATATTAGATAAATAAAGGTCTAGCTCATGTATCGCATGCCGTTGAGTTCCGAAAGTAACGACAGAGTAACGATCACTACCACTGATCCTTCAAGAGGGAAACTGAGAACTGTAAAATTGAATGAGCATTTTTTTTTTCTGCTTTTAAAGATTCATTTGCAAGTAAAAGCGACAGTCATTCAAAAATAAGTCTTCTAAAGAATTGCTTGCACCAAAAGTGAGAGACATCATTACTTAATCGAAGTACTACGGCAGCATATAAGATAGTTACATCGATTAGCAAGGTTTACAACCTCTCCGTTATGCTTGGATATTATTTCCATTTGTAACTTGTAATTGAAAATTTGTAGATGTATATTGTTTTAGTCCTTGTGTAATAAAATGGTTTGATTAATAAATCTGTTACCATGCCAAATTTTGGCAAGTGTTTGAGTAATACAACACAAATTAAGCAATCAATAGCAGAACCAACTCCCTATAAGGAGGCGCCAAAGTTTCCTGATCTAATGCATCTCAACAATGGCAAATTTGTTGTGCTCAATAAGAGATCAGGATGTCAATTAGTTCTGCAGCTAGTCTGATAAGACCAATTTCCCAGTAAAGTTACGCTGTTCACGTTAAAGGAACTCAGTAACGGTTTGCGCATATTGAAAAGTTTAGCCTCAATTTTTCAGATTCGTCGTTTGTAATCCGTGTTAATCTTCTCCATTCTTCGCCATCCTTGTTCCTTTATGGTTTATCGTTTTCTCTTTGGTGTTTCTCTATCTTATTAAACTGTTATTTTCAGGGTTGCTACCATTTAAAGGTAATTTTGTATGTGGCCAAAATAACTCGAAATACCGTGACTGAGCCCCTTTAAGTTTGTGTCAGCTTGTCAGTACGTTTACTCCATGCCAACTCGACTCAACCTATCCTGGGTCTCCGCAATCTCGTTCCCAGAGTCTTCGTTCCCCTTGATCAGCGGTCGAAAAACGAGAGCTCTGGGAGCAACCATTTCAGGTGTGCGCCATAGATGCAGACTGAGTGAGAAAGACATCTTCGGAGACCCCAATCTCGTTCCCAGAGTCTTCGTTCCCCTTGACCAGCGGTCGAAAAACGAGAGCTCTGGGAGCAACCATTTCAGGCGTGCGCCATAGATGCAAACTGCGCAGTGAAACCGGATTAAAGNTTCCCCTTGACCAGCGGTCGAAAAACGAGAGCTCTGGGAGCAACCATTTCAGGCGTGCGCCATAGATGCAGACTGCGCAGTGAAACCGGACGGGCAGAATTCGGTTATTACAAAATGGTTGCTCCCAGAGCTCTCGTTTTCCGACCGCTGGTCAAGGGGAACAAAGACTCTGGGAACGAGATTGGGGTCTCCGAAGATGTCTTTCCACTCAGTCGTTTCATCTTCATAAATAAGTACAACTGATCAAAGCAAAACATTACGTATCACTGATCTTGGAAACTTGTAGATTTCTTAATAGATTACATCGATCGAACAGAATATGGCCTCATTTTATTTGTGTCGAGACAACCGTCGGTCCCTTTATCTTAGCTGGTATCTGTTCCTCTCAGGATCGTTAGAAGAAGCAAGGCTAATTTACAGGGTACTCGCTTGTGGGTTCCATCAGACAGCCACGATCATTTCTCAGCACCACTTTCTCGACGTTGTCTTTTGGATAATCATCTGTGTTATGATTTATATTTGGCATTAAAATCAAATCAGAGAGGGAACGAAAAATTGGGTAAGTAATTCAAAAGAAATTACGTTGTTTTTTATCAACCAAATTCTCACGAAACTAATTTCTCACGAAAGAGATAGGTACAAATTTTGTAGTAGGGATCCCCTGCGCCTCAAATTATGGGGCTCTATGTTCGGTGGAGTTATGGGGCTATTGCACGTATTGTCACGGACAATAGACGGCTGAGTACACTACACCGTTTGAAAACGCTTCTTCATTTATACGGTTAGGCCTACCGTCCACACTAATCCGTAACGAAAACATAACTTCATGAAAACACTCTTCAAACCGGAGGGATTTGAAAACGCCGGCTTTGCGTTTTAGTGTGGACTGAAAACATTTTGAAATCGAAGCTTTTCGAAAACGATGGGGTTTGATTATCATATCTTTCTGCCAGAGTTGACTCAAGACAAATCCAAAATGACCGGTGATTGTTGCATTTCTCCGGCGTAGTGTGGACGGAAAACATTTGATGCGTTTTCAGTCGAGTGAAACCTCCGTTTTCAAATTCCTTCGGCGTAGTGTGGACGCGGCCTAACTTGCACCCCGCCACCACCCTAGAAGTCCTTGCAACATTCCGTACAACAACGTCACAGCGTGTTTCGTATCTGCTCTGATTGTGCATGCAAATATGAAAATATCAATATTGCAATCTACAATTTCCCAGGAGAAATCCCTTAAATTCCTCATAATTTTACCCTGCTTTATTTACAATCAGCCAACCACTCGGAAGAATCGCTTTCCTGGCTTGAAGGAAACAATACGCGATGGATGATGCCATCATTTGATTGACAACCTCTTGATCTAAAAATTGACCTCCGTGATAACCTGCTCAACATTCGTTTTTCCCATACGCGCATGAGGACCGAACGATTGGCGGGAAAAAGGCACGCGTTTCCTCGCCTCCCCCCGCTTGGTATTTTTGTCTCTTTCGCGCTCTCTCGGTATGGGAAGAGAAAACGGAAGTCCACAAACGTTTCATACAAACATTTTAATTTTACATGATTCTTATTATTCTCAGGCCACAGGGCACTTGAACAACGAAACACAACAGTATCACAGTAAAGATTCAATTTCAGCAAGCCTTATGGCATTGTGCGAAACTCTCTGGAAAAAGTACGACTTTAACTACAACCATTGTTATACAATGTTTGAAAGTACAAACTTAGCTCGTACCCAGGTTACGCTCAACAGGTGATCTACCGCTGACCAAGGAGTTTAAGATTGGTAAGAATATTACCAGATTAAAAAGCTATCTTGAAAACAAAACGCTATATAAAAGTATGTTTATGTTAAAAGCCTTCCATAAGAAGTTCAAACTGATATAATACTAACTTTACATTCTCTAAAATAGACTATATGTTGCTACTTTGTTTTATATCTCAAAAACACGTACAAATCGGGCGAAAGACAACTTTCAAAGAAGAGATTTTTATGTATATACACGAGAGAAAAGGAGGTAAGCTGTTAAAATACGGTTGTACCATAAATTTACATCATAAAGAAAAGTTTTGTAACGTACGTTTTAGTAGAAATAGTAGACGAAATGTCTAAAAAGTTCTTTGAGAAAAATCGTTTTATGTTAGTATTTGTTCCATTTTTGTAACAGACAGTAAATAGTTGTTTTCCTAAAATTGCGCAGTTTGGTAAGAGTTTATACAGCTTTACATCACGACTGCGTACAAGTCATCAATTTTCAGGTAATAATATTAATCTCAATTACAACAACTCTGATGAATAACTGACTATGAAATAATGTCAAGACTCCAAACTTGGATGTAAAAGAACTGCTTTGAGCAGTTAAAAAGTAGAGGTTACTAAACGTGCTACGCAACAGCCGACATGACGTAAGCTTCGTACTGTTTCCTGATTGGACAACACGGCTCCGAAGTTTCTCGGGTTTCTCAACGGGTTTGCGCCCTTGGCGGAGCTCTCGAACACGACTTGACGAAAGAATCACGTGTATTCACTCACGTTGAGCGCACATTCTCAAGAAATAGTAATTAGTAGCTTATCCGACGTTTACATCTGAGTAAACAATGGATGTTTCAGGAGTTCCATAGCAGATGGTCTCTCATTTTGTTTGCCTTCAAGGCACCTTAGTAAAACGTCTCTAAGTGCTGGGTTTAGATTCTCAGGAATGTCGGGTGGGCACTCAGCGCAGGCAATCTACAAAAAAGCAAGAGAATTCTGGAGATTATTCAAGCCACAAATTCATGGACACATGTAGATTTTTATTTAATAATTGCTTTCTTATCCTTTCCAGTTGTGAATTAGAGACCAACTCCCAATTTCTCCTTACGAAAACAAACCAAAAAGAAACATATATGGTGAAGACTGAAAAAAAT